GGAGAGGTGAAGGGGGAAGGAGAGGTGAAGAGGGGAGGAGAGGTGAAGGGGGGAGGAGAGGTGAAGAGGGAAGGAGAGGTGAAGAGGGGAGAAGAGGTGAAGGGGGGAGGAGAGGTGAAGAGGGGAGGAGAGGTGAAGAGGGGAGGAGTGGTGAAGAGGGAGGGGGGTGAAGGGGGAGGAGAGGTGTACATACACACAGAAACACAATGCATCTCTAACACACACTCAATGCACACACTTACAGACACACACCTTGCATCCCTTATGCATACAAACACAGATTCACGCAATGCATCCTTTACACACAACCAGAAACACACAATACATCCCTTATACACAAATACACACTGCTTCCACTACACACAAACACACTGCATCACCTGCACAAACTTGTATCCCTATACACTACATACCATAAGCACACATATTAGATCCTCTACAATAACACATAACACATCACCTACACACTCCATTCCCTGTGAGCGAACTCATGGGTGGGTGAAACATATAAGTGGACTTATGAGTGGGTCTTGTGGGCATACTCACCGTCAGGCCCTGGGGCCCAGAACTTGAGCTGTGTAAAGGGCCCCCAAAAAATGGAGCTGCTTCCAATTCTCCCAGAACATTGAATTTTGTGACCACAGTTGCAAACAGCCTCCAGAGATCCTGTTCTACACCAGACCAGTGAAGCCAAACTGAAGCCCATCATCATCCTCATCTTGTTGTAAGTAGGCAATCTAGTATATTATTAGTGACACTAATCTATAATTTACCTCACATTAAAGGGACACTATAGTCCCCAGAACGACTGCAGCTTAATGAAGTGGTTCTGGTGTCTATAGCCGGTCCCTGCAGGTTTTTTAATGTAAACACACACTGTGTGCAGCACTGGCGTTAGTTCGTATGGCAGCTCATATAGGTGGGGCATTTTGATGTCACATGGGGGGCGGCAAATACAGCTGTTCCCCATGCAGCCACAGGTGCCGCTGTGCTGGGAGATTGTGATTACTCTTCACTTCCTCCCAGCCTACAGAGCAGCGCATGGGAGAGAGAGAGGAGGAGGCATGATTTAATCTTACAACAAATCCAGTAAACAAATCTTTATAAATTTTGGGCGATCAGCTCTGTTTCCACAGTTTATTGGTGTTTACGCTGATGTCTGTATTATATTGAGGGATTTCTAAGTAGTAACATCAGTGTGTGTCAGCAGGGCCAGCCGTCGGGGTGTGCACGCTGTGCGGTCACGTAGGGTGCCATCACAATAGAGGCGCCCTGCGGACAACACAGCTCACAAGTTGGGGACACCAGCCTATTCAGTTTAAACGATTCGCTGGTGGTCCACTGGTTAGCACCAGCAGTAGGTGCAGTCAGATTATAGCCTCTCCCTCATGGTTCCGACGCTCAGTTAGACTCCAGAGGCACCAGCAGCTTCAAATATCTGTTTGCTGCTATGTAATAGTAGTTTAGCAGCTGCTCTCTTGGTCTGATGCATGGATCTGGCAGAAATCTTCCTCAATGTGCCTTTATCTGCACAAACCCATCTGTGATCAGAATCAGCCACAAATCTCTTAATAGTGCGATGATTACGCTTACGTTTTCGTGAAATATCTAATGTTTTCATACCTCGTCCAAGGCATTGAACTATTTCACTCTTTTCGGTAGCAGAGAGATCCTTTTTCTTCCCCATATTGCATGAAATTGGTGCTCTGCTTAATAATGTGGAACACCCTCGTTTAGTAGTTTTTCCTTAAATTGGGCTCACCTGGCAATCTAATTATCACAGGTGTCCAAGATTGTTTTCAGTGATCAAAAGAGCCCCGAGACACAATGCCATCCATGAGTTAAACTGAAAAACAAAATATTTAATCTTTGTGACACTTAAATAGAATTTGCGTAATAATTTAGAATTTGTATATTAATTTGCCATTTGGTCACAATACCCTGTGTTGTTTTCACAAGCGGGGGGAGTGACACTTATGCTATATATATTATGGACTTATTTTTGGACTCCTTATTTTTGGACTTCCTATTTTATAGTCTCATTTGGTTTTGACTATATTTATGTGAGGTTTATCCAGTTCCTGGTTACTTTCGCTATAGTTTTATAGTGATAATGTCTTGTTCATTACATATAAAGATTAGTGATCCTTTTTTTCCAGTTTCAGAGCTGTTTTCCTAATTTTTCGAATTTTTCTTACTCCCCCTATTTATTTATTTTAGTCTTTGAACATATTTATTTGTGATTCTTGACTATCCATCTTTTTGGCACTGTAGGAAGTCATGATATATTAATTGGTGAAGTTGGGGGACCCAAAGCAGTGGTGTAGCTTCCATTTAAAATGTGTGTGATTTAAAGTTTGTGAAGAGGAGTTAGCAATATAGCTACACCCAACTGTGTGGCGCCAAAAATGTTTGTGCACCCAGGCGTCAGTGACCCCTAGGATTGGCCCTGGGGACAGCCACTAAAATCTTGCACTACAAACATTGCTGTTTCTGTAGAATGACAATGTTTGCAGCTGCAGGCGTGAAACTACAGATGAAATGGTTTGGGTAACTATAGTTTACTGTGATTAAGATGAATATGAAGTGCTTTGCTATTCTCAGTAAACAAGCATGAAAATGCATTTTTCTTCTAGATTACATGAAGACCCTGATTGTTATCCCACATTCCCACCCTAGTTCTGGTGGTTTGTTGTTTGGTGTCTAGTTGTCTGCTTTGTGTTGTCACAGCTTGGTTGGTTTCCTGGACAGCGCAGCTGGAGCAAGACGCAGAGTTTCTTTTGGGGAGATGACATCCTGCACAGAGTTGATGGCAAGTAGCGGACTGTTGAGGCTCATGGATCAAAAGCTTGGAGAACTGTCTGTTGGGCAAATGCCCAACAGCTGACAGACTTATGGATATTATTAAATGGTTGTGTTAATAAAGCTGTGGCCGTTGCCCTTATCCACTTGGAGGCAACGGTGGTATGGGTCAGCAGTCATGGCACCAGCATATTAGACTTACTACTACTTTAGGTAATTAGAAGATCTCAATAGGTTAACTGATTAGATACCAACACTTGAGGATTTATTAATTTAATTATAAGCTGTGGCAACTTCAAAAAACTGACTGCCAAGTTACAGGATTTTTCAGTTAAAGGGACACTATAGTGACCAAAACACTATAGTGACCAAAACAACTTTAGCTTAATGAAGCAGTTTTGGTGTCTAGATCATGTCTCACTTCTCAATGTTCTACCATTCAGGAGTTAAATGACTTTGCTTCTGTCCATGCAGCCCTTGTAGGGCGGTACGACCAGGACAGCATAAACATTTAACTCCTAAATGGCAGAGAATTGAGCAGTAAGACTACAACGGCATGATCTATACACTAAAACTTCTTCATTAAGCTAAAGCTGTTTGGGTGACTACAGTGTCCCTTTAAGTTATTTTTACTTAATTTGACCTGATGTAAATAAACTGAAGTGAATTGAATTTAGAACTTAACTGCAAATGGCAGGCAAAAAGTGCTGATTTGGAAAAATTTAGCTATAGTCGTAGCTTAGCCTGGCATAAAAGGTTTAATTCATTATAAATTAGTGTTAATGAATGAAGCCTTTTATTTACTATTACATTTATATACTGTGTATTATGCTAACAAATTCTTTCCCACACTATGAGAGATAACAATGAGCCAGGCACAACAACAGAGAATATATACACTGACAAAATGTCCATGTGCTGGTCTGACCATATGTTGTCTTAGCAAATGGTATAGCCAGTGTCAGGAAAAGTTTAGTGTGTATAAACTGTGCTGCAGTGGAAATAACCAGAAATTGACTCAAGACACAGCTTGACCACATACTAATCAGCAGGCAACATTTCTACCATTTGAAACATATGCTATTTATTTTTGTTCAGGGAACATTTTTGGCCAAAAAATGCAATTAGAATCCTTTTTTTGAATTCCCATAGTTACTGTAGTGAGAAGTGGCGAAAACATAAAGTTTATTGTACTTTTTCACCTAAGATATTTCTGTATTTATTCAGGCAAAATCATATAAAATGTCTTACGGCCTACAATTAGTACAAATCTCCACCAGGCTGTATAGTGAAAAATATGCTCATCATGAACATTGAAATGAATTGTTTAATAAAAGCGTTAAGTTCCTTAAATGCAAGTTGTGATGAGTTGACTAATTTACTTTCACATTTTTCCAACACTTTTATTTTGGCCTTTTTTTTTTGGTCAAACAAAGGAGCATCCATTAAATTAATTAATAATTAAGTAAACAATTGTTGTGGCAATTTGAATGCATATATTTTTTTTTCTTTTCTTTCTTTTTCTTTAGTCTTTTTATTAGGATTTCTTAGGATTTCAAAATATAAAAGACATACAAATATAATAATAAGACAGAAAATGTAAAGACTAGCAGAGCATTGATTAATAAACATTGTTACAAGAGAAATTCTTTAGCAATACTCTGCTAACAAACACAAACAAATAAAAAGACAATGAGAACGTAAAGGAAACACAATTTTATCTTAGAGTGAGTCAAGACTTGAGTAACACCTCATAATAATTCCAACCCAAGGGATGATTTGCACAGTATGTAAAATAGGTTCAGAGGTATATAGAATATATCCCAATATTTAACTATCCAGAAAAAATAGAAAGAAATGGAATCAGTGTGAAAATGGGTGTAAAAGGGAATAAACACCACCTCCACACCGATCGCATGCACCAGGAGGGAACTCCAGCAATGCCCATGGGCTTAACCCTAGATACCAGCAACAGAAACAAAAAAGCAAACATTCACAAACTGAATATAATGCTGACTGGAGATAAAGACGTAGGCACCAAAGCATCCAGTGGTATGGAACAATGTAACCAGAGGGAGACCACTAAATATCTGAAGGAACAGAAAGTATCAACACAGAAATAAACTGACTCCAAATAATAATAAATAAATAATAAATTATTATTTGGAGTTGGTTTATTTTTGTGTTGATACTTTCTGTTCCTTCAGATATTTAGTGGACTCCCTCTGGTTACATTGTTCCATACCACTGGATGCTTTGGTGCCTACGTCTTCATCTCCAGTCAGCATTATATTCAGTTTGTGAATGTTTGCTTTTTTGTTTCTGTCAATATTTAAGTATGTCTCATTTATGAAGGGTTGATTCTAAGATGTTTATACACTCATTCCACATATTGTATTTATTGATATTCCAACAAAAAAGTTGATACAATCGATATAATGTACTTTTACATTTTACATCTGAGTTACATTGTGTTCAATAAATGCAGCCATCTGTTAATATATCTGTTTGTGATCAACAAATAAAGGTATGTATAAGTTCTGATTTTTACAAACGAGAGCCTATTTATTTTAAATGACTGTAACAATGGGGTTTGAAACCTTACATCACAACTCACCTTACATCACAACTTAATATTATTGACTGGAACGATCTAGCCAGTCACATTGTAACCCTGACTATGTGATACAGAAGTAGACATTCTCTACCTCTAATCAGCTACCATTCATTGTTCCATTTTCAATTTCTAGACTGCGTAAAGTTTGTAATCAACTTTAGTGGGCCACCTTTGATGATACACGCTGGATTTTTCATACAGAGAAATGTTAATGAAGACAACCTAGTTGACTACAGATATTTAGGGACATGGGACCTTACAGTTTGTTATTTAGTTCACTTAAGCTTGGTTCTAATGTAATAGGTTCTATAATATTATAACCAGTTCCCAGCTGGCCTTGTTACAATAATAATATAATGAATGCAGCTGCAAGAATCATATTCCTGTCTGCCAGCACCCAGGGGCGGATTCAGAACCAAATCTCGGGAGGGGCACTGGTGGTGGGCTATAGCGGTGTGAAAAGGGCTGCAGCTGAGGAATAGGGTACTCTTGTTTAGGGGATAGGATGCTGTACACATATGCGGCCACACACAGGGATATCGAAACACAATAACACACTGACACATACACACAAATACAAACATATACCTTCAGACACATACACTGGGACACCCACAGATGCAAACCTATACCTACCAGGCACACACAGATACACACACATACCTACACACACACACAGATGCACATACCTACACATAGATTCACATATACACACACTGACACACAAATACACACACATATACCTGCACATACACACACTGGCACATAGATACACACATACCTAAATACATACACTCTGTCGCACACACACACACACACACACACACATCCCTACACATACAGACACACAGACATGCACATACACAAAATGACACACATACCTTCACATACACACACAGATACAAGGTGATAGAATATACAGGCAAAACTCCAGGTACTGAAGGTGTATTTATTGGAGGGTAGAACACCTCAAAAGTGCAAACGTGCGACGTTTCGGCCCTAGAGGGCCTTAATCATGTTTAAGGCCCTCTAGGGCTAAAAAGTTGCATTTTTCACTTTTATGGGGTGTTCTACCCTCCAATAAATACACCTTCAGTACCTGGAGTATTGCCTGTATATATTCTATTGCCTTGTATTGTTGGACAAATTATCAGTGTCTGTCTAATGCAGAGCACCTCTGAGGCTGTGGGCCGGAGTGAAAAGCGGAACCTGAGTGCAGTGGACTACTCACAGAAGCACACACTGACACACAAACATACTCACAGATACACACTGACACACTGACACTCACTGATGCACACTCATACTCACAGATACACACTGACACTCACAGATACACACACATACTCACAGATACACACCGACACTCACAGATACACACACAGATGCGCATACAGTGCCTTGCAAAAGTATTCACCCCCTCTGAATTTTATGTGATGGATCAGAACACAATAGTCTAAGTTGGTGAAGTGAAATGAGAAAAATATACACATAAAAGTATTTTCTAGAAATAGAAAACAGAAAATTGGCATGTGCGTATGTATTCACCCCCTTTGTTATGAAGCCCATAAAAAGCTCTGGTGCAGCCAATTACCTTCAGAAGTCACATAATTAGTGAAATGATGTCCACCTGTGTGCAATCTAAGTGTCACATGATCTGTCATTACATATACACACCTTTTTTGAAAGTCCCCAGAGGCTGCAACACCTAAGCAAGAGGCACCACTAACCAAACACTGCCATGAAGACCAAGGACCTCTCCAAACAAGTAAGGGACAATGTTGTTGAGAAGTACAGGTCAGGGTTAGGTTTTAAAAAAATATCCAAATCTTTGATGATCCCCAGGAGCACCATCAATTATATCATAACCAAATGGAAACAACATGGCACAACGGCAAACCTGCCAAGAGACGGCTGCCCACCAAAACTCACGGACCGGGAAAGGAGGGCATTAATCAGAGAGGCAGCACAGAGACCTAAGGTAACCCTGGAGGAGCTGCAGAGTTCCACAGCAGAGACTGGAGTATCTGTACTTAGGACGACAATAAGCCGTACGCTCAATAGAGTTGGGCTTTATTGCAGAGTGGCCAGAAGAAAGCCATTACTTTCATCAAAAAACTAAATGGCACGTTTTGAGTTTGCGAAGAGGCATGTGGGAGACTCCCAAAATATATGGAGGAAGGTGCTCTGGTCTGATGAGACTAACATTGAACTTTTCAGCCATCAAAGAAAACGCTATGTCTGGCGCAAACCCAACAAATCACGTCACCCAAAGAACACAATCCCCACAGTAAAAAAACATGGTGGTGGCAGCATCATGCTGTGGGGATGTTTTTCAGCAGATGGGACTCGGAAACTGGTCAGAGTTGAGGGACAGATGGATGGTGCTAAATACAGGGATATTCTTGAGCAAAACCTGTACCACTCTGTGTGTGATTTGAGGCTAGGATGTAGAGTCACCTTCCAGCAGGACAATGACCCCAAACACACTGCTAAAGCAACACTTGAGTGGTTTAAGGGGAAACATGTAAATGTGTTGAAATGGCCTAGTCAAAGCCCAGACCTCAATCCAATAGAAAATCTGTGGTCAGACTTAAAGATTGCTGTTCACAAGCGCAAACCATCCAACTTGAAGGAGCTGGAGCAGTTTTGCAAGGAGGAATGGGCAAAAATCCCAGTGGTAAGATATGGCAAGCTCATAGAGACTTATCCAAAGTGACTTGGAGCTGTGATTGCCGCAAAAGGTGGCTCTATAAAGTATTGACTTTAGGGGGTTGAATAGTTATACACATTGACTTTTTCTGTTTTTTTGTCCTATTTGTTGTTTGCTTCACAATAATAATAAAAAAAAAAAACATCTTCAACGTTGTGGGCATGTTCTGTAAATTAAATGATGCAAATCATCAAACAATCCATGTTAATTCCAGGTTGTGAGGCAACAAAACACGAAAAATGAGAATGGGGTGAATACTTTTGCAAGGCATTGTACATACTCACAGATACACACTGACACACACAGATGTACACATACCTAAACATACACACTGGCACACACACAAATTGCAGCTTTCATAATGTTAACTCCCCCCCCCTCCATACCTTTTGGTTGCAGGGAGGTGACTTCCTGATCCTGATGGGAGTCTGAAGCTGCAGAGCTCTCTCTCCTCCCTCCTCCTCTCTCAGCTGCATCCTGTGTCTTCTCAGCCCGCGCGGTCTGTATGCTGGGAGGAAGTAACAGTCACTTCCTCCCAGCACTCCCTGTAACTTTCAAGGGGCCCGGTCTGCCAAAGGGCTGCAGCACCCGACCGAGCCCCTAATGAGGTAGCTCAAACGATGGCAGCTGCACTATTTTCTCGGGGGGAGTGGGATGACCCCGAGATCCGCCACTGCCTGCACCTCCCATGCCTCACTTCTCTGTCAGTCCTTATACTGCTTTCCTGTAAGATATAGGGCTCAATTTAAAATTCTGGTGCTTGCTTACAAAATCTTTACATAATGCTGCTCCTTTACATACTGCTGCAGATAAGAACCATTCAGCCCATCTAGTCTGCCCAATTTTCTAAATACTTTCATTAGCCCCTGGCCTTATCTTATATGTAGGATAGCCTTATGTCTACCCAGGAATGCTTAAACTCCTTCACTGTGTTAACCTCTACCATTTCAGCTGGAAGGCTAGTCCCTGCATCCACTACTACCCTCTCAGTAAAGTAATACTTCCTAATATTATTTTTAAACCTTTGCCCCCTTTGCTCCTTCAAAAGATCATTAAAAACTCACTTCTTTAAAAAAAACATATCAAATTAATTGTTAACAGCTTTCCTGCCCCCGCACCTTGGTTACCTACCTTGCTTCCTCTCCTGCAACTGTGTCATCCAAAAAACTAACCATTCACTGTTCTAGAAACTTACTTTTCCCATATATGAAATACATCCTTCCCTTACCTCTTGTGCCACTTTACCCAACTCCCTGTAGAATGTAAGTTCGTTTGACCAGGACCTTCAACACCCTCATGTGCATCCAGCTCGTCTTCTTGCAAATACATGTCTTTTAGTCAACCTATTGTACAGCACTACAGAATTTGTTGACGCTTTATAAATATTAATAAGCATCATTAATATTGTGTCAATATATTCCTTATGTTGGGGAACAAGTGATTGTCATAAAAAAATTATATTAGATTTTATGCCCTATATTTCCAGCCTCACCCAAAATTGTATTCAAGGTTTTCAATTAACGTTAAGATTGCCAGGATCTCCATACTTCTTGGTATTTGTCTAAGCAACCAGTCAGTGCGGCCATGTGCTCCTCCATCTGGCAGATCTCTACACATCCTAACCAACTCTAGTGGGAAGGAGGGACCAGCTGCAACCAAAGGGCAGGTAGCAACCAATTGTGACTTCTAGAGTCGTAACTCTGTTCTTCAGGCAGTTGAGTTCACGTCAGAGATCGCCCATCTCCTGTCAAATGATCCCTCTAATCGAAGATTCCAGGGTGGCAGCATCAACCCTAGAGAACAAAGCCATGTAAATCATCTGTTTAAAAAATCACACTAATTCTCAACCCCCACACAGTATATATTTAATTATAGTTCAAATAATATTTTTTTTTGGTCAATTAATGTTTATTGAGATTTTGTAAATGGCAAAGTGAGTGGATACAATACAAAGGTAGGAAAGGTGGTAGACAAACAAGGCATATATATCTACAGGAAAGGTCCAGCATTGATGATCAGTGGAGAGATATCGTAAGGGGACATTTCCCACATGAAAACTGAACTATTTGACAAACTCAACTCTCGTATTGTATGCCAGTTATCTGAGGAGGGGGGACGGGGAGATACTGGGGAAGGGAGAAAATAGAGGGTGAGGTGCTGGTAAGGAAAAATGTTCCTAAGAGAAGAAGACTCAGCCGGGGGGAGAAGGATGCCCCTATATCAATGGTTATAACAAGACTTAGCCTGGGACCTTTAGCTTGGACATGTAGTCCTGCCAGGGAAGTCATGTTGTATAGAAATGTTTTGGTTCTCTTATATATTGAAGCTATTAAGGCCTCTATTTTCCTGATCTCCACTGACAGAGCATTGAAGCACCTCTTTGCCCCCAGAAGACATAAGAGTGTAATGGAGCAGCATTTTAGCCAGTTGCAGTGGCACTGAATCTTTCATAATTTGTTTCATGATTGAATGTATGGACTTGCAGTATAGTACGATATCAGTGCACTCCCACCAGATGTGAAACTGGGTGCCTACTGTACCTTGGCATCTTCAGCATGAATTCGGGATGTTGAATTTGTGTAGGAGTATGGGGGTGTAATAGCATTGGGAGGGAACAGAAGTTTTGTGGGTTATTTGTTACATTTTGAACTATTCTTCTTCAGTAACAACACCACCTAGGGCAGTTTCCCATTTGGGGGGCACAGGTGCGACAGGGGTTAAAAAAAAATTAAATGTAAGACAGAGATGTTCCTGGTAAGTCTCCCCTGGCTATGTCAATATGATTCAAAGGTGAAGAGTTGTTGGTAGAGATTGATACAGGGGGATAGTGACTTGATAAAATTTGCAAGTAGTGAAATCAATCGTTATGTTTCAAGGTAACCTCACTTTTCAGTTTTGACAGGGGGAGTAGGTGTGAGTCAGTGGTTACATTCAGCAGGATGACAAGGAGCATATATTAATCGTTAATTATAGTTCAGAAATGAATTTAGAAAATAAAATATGCATTAATTAAATATGTTGAAGTAAAGAAAATACAAAAAAAAAGAAATTATGAAAAAGGGTAATAAAATACATTAAAATAACATGACATCAAATAAAATAATAAAAAAATGTTTTTATATTATTATTTACACTTCTTTAACAAAATTAAACATGTAGGCAAAGACTCCTTTCTCTTTGTTGGAAGTTTTGGACATTGGCTTTTGCCTGTTTCATTTGATAATGATTTGATTGTTTCCTTGTATTTCTATTTTTGCTTGATTAAGTTACAATAATATTTATAAAATAAGTTATTTTATTCTGTGCATACCCTGACTCATACATCGTATTGCTTCATCCTTGAGATAAAAGACACCAAATGGATTTTTAAATTGAAAACTCTGGGTCAAAATAAACTAAAAAATGAAATATATATATTTGCTTTTATGGATTAATGCACACCACAAACTGACTTATCACCAAAACCAATTGATACATACTACTATCATGTTTACGACCACAAGTTTCAAGGCCCAAGGTATTTATATGTGGGAAGCGGTTGTCCTATAAAAAATCTTATCCCCCCTCTTACTTGGGATGTTCCGTTTCAGGTCATCCCATCCACCTCACCTCTTATTTAATTCATTTATTCCACTCTTTTCCTTGGTGGGCCCTCTCCTATTTACAAGCCTACTCATACGTTGGTTTTGGCACACCATAACCGATTTATCACCACCACCAATTGATACATACTACTATTATGTTTCTGGTACAAATATATGTGTATATATATAGTGGTACCTCGATTTACAAATGCCTTGGTAAACATAATTTTCGGTTTACAAATGAAAATCCATTGAAAATAATGCCTCGTTTACAAATTTTTTTTGCAATACGAAGCAAGCTTCCCCAGGATGCATTGCTCCTGGGAGGTTTATAGCGCCACCACCGTGCATGCTGGAGTTTGTAGGTAGCACGTGGCATTGAGTGTGGAGGTGTTGGAGCGGTTTTTGCAATGAGTTTTGGAGCCATTCTGGAAAAAAAATTCAGGGGTTTTGGGACTTTTTGGAACTTTTTTGGTGCATTTCTCAAGCGGTTGAAAGTTAGGGTGCTGAGCTTTGTCATTTGCATGTATTTTACTTTGTGTTCTGCATTATGGGTTGATTTTTATGCCAGCTCATTTTTACTTTTTTCTGACCTCCGGAACAGATTAATTGGTTTTCAATGCATTCCTATAGGAAACCACGTTTCGGTTTATTAATTTTTCGCAATACAAAACGTCCCGGAGAACGCATTAAATTCGTAAACCGAGTTACCACTGTATATATTAAGGTATTGTGTGTATTTATTTAAAAATATTATAGATAATAACTTATGAATTATAACCTTATGATGACATGTATATTGTATATATCCATATGTATTGATTTATGTGCTCTGACTATGCAGAAATATTTCTGTTTAAAGGACCACTATAGCCACCCAGACCACTTCAGCTCAGTGTTAACCGTGCAGCTGTAAACATAGTTTCAGAGAGTTTTTATATACACTGCTCAAAAAAATAAAGGGAACACTTAAACAACACAATGTAACTCCAAGTCAATCACACTTCTGTGAAATCAAACTGTCCACTTAGGAAGCAACACTGAGTGACAATCATATTTCACATGCTGTTGTGCAAATGGGATAGACAACAGGTGGAAATTATAGGCAATTAGCAAGACACCTCCAATAAAGGAGTGGTTCTGCAGGTAGTGACCACAGACCACTTTTCAGTTCCTATGCTTCCAGGCTGAGGTTTTGGTCACTTTTGAATGCTGGCGGTGCTTTCACTGTAGTGGTAGCATGAGACGTAGTCTACAACCCACACAAGTGGCTCAGGTAGTGCAGCTCATCCAGGATGGCACATCAATGCGAGCTGTGGAAAGAAGGTTTGTTGTGTCTGTCAGCGTAGTGTCCAGAGCATGGAGGCGCTACCAGGAGACAGGCCAGTACATCAGGAGACGTGGCCGTAGGAGGGCAACAACCCAGCAGCAGGACCGCTACCTCTGCCTTTGTGCAAGGAGGAACAGGAGGAGCACTGCCAGAGCCCTGCAAAATGACCTCAGCAGGCCACAAATGTGCATGTGTCTGCTCAAACGGTCAGAAACAGACTCCATGAGGGTGGTATGAGGGCCCGACATCCACAGGTGGGGGTTGTGCTTACAGCCCAACACTGTGCAGGACGTTTGGCATTTGCCAGGGAACACCAAGATTGGCAAATTCGCCACTGGCGCCCTGTGCTCTTCACAGATGAAAGCAGGTTCACACTGAGCACATGTGACAGACGTGACAGAGTCTGGAGACGCCGTGGAGAACGTTCTGCTGCCTGCAACATCCTCCTTCATGACCGGTTTGGCAGTGGGTCAGTAATGGTGTGGGGTGGCATTTCTTTCGGGGGCCGCACAGCACTCCATGTGCTCGCTAGAGGTAGCCTGACTGCCATTAGGTACCGAGTTGAGATCCTCAGACCCCTTGTGAGACCATATGCTGGTGCGGTTGGCCCTGGGTTCCTCCTAATGCAAGACAATACTAGACCTCATGTGGCTGGAGTGTGTCAGCAGTTCCTGCAAGACGAAGACATTGATGCTATGGACTGGCGCGCCCGTTCCCCAGACCTGAATCCAATTGAGCACATCTGGGACATCATGTCTCGCTCCATCCACCATCCAGATGCTTTAGTCCAGGTCTGGGAGGAGATCCCTTAGGAGTCCATCCGCCACCTCATCAGGAGCATGCACAGGCGTTGTAGGGAGGTTATACAGGCATGTGGAGGCCACACACACTGCTGAGCCTCATTTTGACTTGTTTTAAGGACATTACATCAAAGTTGGATCAGCCTGTAGTGTGTTTTTCCACTTTAATTTTGAGTGTGACTCCAAATCCAGACCTCCATGGGTTGAAAAATTTGATTTCCATTTTTTAATTTTTGTGTGATTTTGTTGTCAGCACATTCAACTATGTAAAGCACAAAGTATTTCAGAAGAATATTGAATTCATTCAGATCTAGGATGTGTTATTTTTGTGTTCCCTTTTTGAGCAGTGTATATTGGTTTCATATATATATATATATATGTGTGAAAGAATATAGATCTAACACAATCTAGAGCTTTACTGTCTTTAATCTAATTTAACTTTGATTTTAAATCTGTTGATATTGGCCTTTAGTTTCACTCTGTGATAACTTTAGTGATCATGTTTTTTCTTTTATTCACTAATCCTGGTCTGTTTTATAATTATTCAGATTTCAGCTCAATGCTCTGGAGGTTTTAGAATATTCTTTAGAACTGAGTTAACTTACTTAATGCATAGTCTTTATAATTTGAAGAATCTGCTTTTTGTTTTATTTAATATTCTGCTATTTTATCCCTTGAGGACCTTGAGTTTGGCAATCCATTTAATGTCAGTGCTGGCATTCGTTTGGTTCTTAAGGAGTTAAGTATCAGAATTTCCCACAGATCCCCCTGTTGTGAAGTGAAACATTATAATTTCCTTTCTGCAATGAAAGGTATTGCTAAGGTTGCCTCCAGGCTGGCTGGAAGTTGGACCGTAGAAAGGATGCTCCTAGCACTCACTAAAGGACCATCAGCACGGCAAGATCCCAGCAGACTCCACGAACCGCCGCTGCTGGGCTGGGATCTCGCCGTCTGCTATCCACCCTGGACCTACGACCGGGCTCCAGGTTCCAGTAGGTGAACCTCTTCCTTCTGTAGAGCGAAGCAGGATCAGGAACAAGAGCTCTTACAAGAGCTCAGTAGCTAAGGGAGTATGAAGAGCATAGCAATCCCTGTAGTGATTATAGCTGTCCCCTACAAACATGAGTCGAGGCTGCAATTTAGAGGGTCAAGTAGTTCTCTTTAATTGGCCCCAAAGGGTTTTCTTTTATGAAGGTCTTACACATACAAGACCGCCCACAGGGTTTTGCAGAACAACCAATAACACACGTACATTACAGTAAAACACTCCCAGCAGTTACACACAAAATCCTCCCCTTTGCCTGTGATATAATTATGGTACACAGTGGGTTAACATAATTATCACAGGCAGGAAAAATACAGTTTTACACATGTACTGTAACTTTAAAAATAAACATTCAATCTTCATGAAAATTACATATTCATACACAGCACACTTTAAACATAAACACTCTCAAAAATCATACAAATCCCTCCAGTAGATAAAAAGTTAGACGGAAGTCCTTTATGACCGACCGCAAGCATATTTTCCTGCACAAAACAGTTCCATAGATTTGGGCTGTGCGGCCGGTCTATTTCAGGCAAAAAAATGACTAAGTTCCATTTGAATGTACAAACGGGGCCGTTTGTGCAATTGGCTCAGTATAGCAGTGAATTCAAACTGCCGAACAGGACTTAGACTCTGTAGCTGAAACTGAGTGGAGAAGAAGGTAAGGGTCATCTGTGTTCGTTGAAATGTGTAGCCGATTTCAGTTCCATGGATTTGGCTACACATACCGCTGACCTCGTTCGAATGAACAAAGATGGCCACCGCCACGTGTTCGTTTGCACGAACTGCAGCCACCCAGAGGTCGGCAATTACCTACAGCAGGCTCCCAGCCTGGGAGGTAAATTCCTGCACGCTTCCACTTCTGGGTGGTCCGCCTGTGTGGTACTTGGTTCAGTAAGCCCCATTTAATGAACCAAGTAGGAAAAGGGTACAAAGTATTTTAGGTGACTGGGGACACAGTCTTAAAGGGGCATTGTTCCACAAAGTCTCAATATGTCCCCAGACGGTTCTTAAAGGGCCAGCAGCAGCACAATAAAAATCCATTATGCCCAAATACTGTTCTTAAAGGGCCATACACCTCAGGTCCATAGTCATGAGGAAGGAGGCTGGCAATAAGGCTTCTCCATAATACAGGGAAGTAGGGCAATTTGTCACTTAAAGAAACAGTTACAAAAGGCATTTTGTAACAGGTATTATTTGGGCTCATATGCTCCATGTAACTTTGATGCTGGTTATTGCAAGTATTTTAAGTGACATTGGAAGGTCCTTCAGTCACCAGACTATTCTACCATGTTTACTATTTCAGGTAAAATTCACCTGCTACCAGAACAATAAGGGAAATCACTGAAAATTAAGTCAAATTACTGACCTCTGTTCTGATGTTCAAGGGGATTCTTCTAGGATTCTACTTCGCAGCCAATGTATGGCTTTGAGCTGTTGAGTCATCCTGCATAATATAATATTATAGCTTGTTTGTGACAAACTTTGGCTGATAGGTTTCACATTGTCTCTGTACCTAGATCCGTATATGTGATGGTCATCCCTAACATTGCATTGTTGTAATTCTTGTGGATTATATGCTTGGACTGGTGTTAACATCTTTGCATATAGTTTGACAAAAAAAAGGAGAATGCACACCAGAAACCACAAGTAATATATAACCTGGTTTAATAAACCAACAATTGGTTCAAACATATAAATAACAATAACACATAAAGTGACAAACAAGAGGCAAAAGATGAATAATAAACAGTAATAGTTTACCAAAATTCTCACAAGCCTAATAGGACAGAAACACGAATCCAAAATAACCCCCCAACGTTTTGGCACCACCTGGCTGCCTTTATCAAGGGTGTTTATATCCAGACTCACCATAAATCCCCTTAAATAGCTCTCACACAGCTGATGGCCATCAGTATGATAGCGAAGCCTGAAACCGGAAGTGATATCATCACCTTCGCCCTCGGTTTCATCCCATTCCCACCACATACACTTAAGTCATATAGTTCATAATAACCCATATTATTAGCATTGTTACAGCCTCATATAAACTTGTCCAACAGAAGGAAATACCTATAAATCAATGAAGAAACGGCAAAACAGCAGCTACGCGCATGCACGATAAAGGCGCCGATGTCGCCATTTTTATTGCTGGAAAATCATATCGTAATGCCTACCGTGCATGTGCAATGCATATTCCAAACGCTATTAATGCACAAGATAGAGGACGGGCTCTGCTAACGCCCAAAAAGTAAGAAATAGCAAAAAAGGGATTGACCATGATATTCCCCTTATCTAGAGGATAGAGCTAACCTACAATAAGGAGGAAGAGTGGTGATATTAATATAGGGATACTCAACTTACCCAAATACTATTACTATTGGTAAAATTGGTAAAAAAAGTGAAAAAGTAATAAGTGCATTAGATATTTATTATCTCCAATGTATATATAAACTGTGAAATGACCATTCACACAGTTATATGAAAATATTAATAACATAAAAGATATACATGGCTAATGACTATAACTAATACTAAGTACTATTGTATAGCAAATAAGCATATTACATTCAAATGCCCCCCATATTAATTATACCAAATTTAGCATTAGCAATGCAGTTTAGGGTAGAGTGTACTCATATTTAGTATAACTTCCAAAACTATTGACATCTCTCAACATTGATAAGCTGGTCAATTAGATAATGGGGCATCCTAGTTATAACATGCTATGGTACACCCAAATATTGAATGACCATAATAAATGCAAGGAATCCTTCCTAAGGTTATATCAAACCATATCACCTACTTAATCAGAGCTATCTAAAGGTATAAACCACCAGATAGTTATGTGTACGTGATATGAAAAGTCTAGTGGTGATGAACATAATCCATACATAATCTATATGCTGTATATATGCACACACCTCTTATCCAGTGTAAACATTACTTTGTGTCAATATATACAATCAGCTGAATTGATTCATCATCTACATCAATATATACAATATCAATTCAAAAGACTAGTCAACTATATACAATAGACAGGAATATATCACATTTTTTATGTATGTTATATCACAATGAGCAATATAACATTATCCACTCCAATTTAATTATTCAATATATCTTGAGGGAATGCAGGATAGGATCCAATATGGTGGCATCAAATATACAGAAGTCCCACAGTCCATCTTCCAGTATCTCAAAAGGTCCATATTCCCAGCGTCATAACTGATCAGTTAGTTACACATGGAAATCTAAATGAATAAGTGAAATTAAAAACAATCAAGATATAAACTATAGACAAGCAGGGCGGATTCGCACAATCCTTAATAAATGAATGGGGAGAGGTCTCGTTCTTCACTGAGACCCTTGGGAGATGAGGTCTGTAACTCGTATATCCAGTACAATTCACGCTGTTTCAACACAACTTCTTTTGATCCACCCCTTAACAGGGGTTTCACTGTCTCCAAAACCATATATCTCAACTGAAAAAACTGCATGTCATTTCTCAGAGAAGTGTCGGGCCACTGGGTACTGAACTTTCCCAGATCTAATACTGCTCTTGTGTTCTCTTATTCTTGCAGTAAACTTTTTGTGGTCTCCCCCACATAAGCTAGGCCACAAGGGCACTTGAGCATGTACACAACAAATTCTGTTTGGCAATAGTAAAATTCCTTAATAGGGTATCTTTTGCCAGTCCTTGGATAGACAAAATAATTGCCAGTGATTACCCCACTACAATTAATGCAGTGCCCACATTTGTACATACCCACTGGCGCCTTGAGCCATGTTTCTTTTCCAGCCATTGTTCCTTGTAAGTTCACATTCCGCATTAGCTGATCCCAAAAATTTTTGTGCCTTTTAAATGAAAATAAAGGTTTCTCGTTAAAACAAGACCTTAACTTAGGATCAGACTGTAGAATTTTCCAGTGCCTATTTACAATATGTTTGATCTCTTGGGAATGTGTCGAGTAAGTTGTCACACATGGGATACCAATATTTTTATTTCTTGTTTTCTTGACTAACAATTGTTCCCTGGGTAATGATTTCGCCCTGTTCTTACAATCGATCAGAACCTCGGTCTTATATCCACTAGTGGAAAAAGCTCTTATCAAATCTTCAGCACGTCTGTCATAGTTACTGTCTTCGGACACAATTCATCTTGTCCTGACAAATTGTCCATACGGTAAATGTTGAATGAAGTGTGGTGGGTGGAAGGATTTAGCATGTAAATAAGATGCCCGATCTGTCAGTTTCTGATATAGATCAAACATTAGATGTCCATCACTCACCTCCATTGAGACATCCAAAAAGTGCATCTTGTGGGCATCATATTCTATGGTGAATGATTTAGTGTCCAGTCTGGTGTCCAACTTCTCTTTGAAAAGAAGTAGATCTTCGATGTTCCCTGTCCAAAGAAAGAAGATGTCGTCTATGTAACATAGCCAATTGACAACAAATTGTTGAAAGAAAGAATCAGGATATATAAAAGCCTCCTCAAATGCTGCAATGAACATATTGGCATACGTCAGGGCCACATTGGACCCCATCGCCGTACCCTGTATTTTTAATAACATTTTTCTCCAAAGGCAAAGTAATTTTTGTGTAACACCATAGACAACAACTCCATAAGAAAATCCCTGTACACCTCACTTATATCAAGTGATTGTATGGATCTAAACACTGCCTCAAGCCCCTCCTCATATGGTATGGATGTATATAAGCTGTTGATGTCCATTGTGCACAATAAAGTGCCACAAGGGACATCACCAATCAATTCCATTTTGTTGATAAAATCCGCTGTATCTTGTACAAAAGAATGCATATTACAAAACAATGGTTGTAGATGTATATCAACAAATTTTGATAACGGTTACAGTACTGATCCACACCCCAAGACTATGGAGCGACCAGGAGGATGTCTCAAGTCTTTATGTATCTTAGGGAGCAGATATATAAACAGGATCTTAGGACAATCTACATTCAAAAAGTTGAAATCCCTTCTATCAATCAGTCCACCATCAATGTTATAGTTTTTTTCTTTGAGCACACACCTTTCAACCAATCAATGAGATATTGAATAGAGATGGAAGAATTATTTCTGGAAAGGCATTCATGCTGAAAAAGGAATTTATTCTAAAGGCTTTCTAATTCCAGCGAGAGTGTGAGTGGCCATTTATGAATTGTACACTTGGTTTATTCATATACACAGTTATGCACTATGTATTGTTCTTGTCATTGATTTAGCAGATTAACCCCTTTTTTCTGTATACAGTCCACCATCAAGTGCTGCCCCAGTAATTTCTTTGATTCTTCCTTGTAACTCACCTGTTGGATCAAGCTCTAAAATCCTATAGTGTTGGGTATTGGTCAATTGACGATCCATTTCAGCCATATACCCGCCAATATCCATGACCACCAGAGCACCTCCCTTATCCGCCGGTCTTATCAAGATTGTCCTGTCATTCCTTAATTCATTAAGCATAGACCATTCCTGTCTACTTAAATTCATTTTTCCTTTTTTCCCCCATCGAATCTTATCCACATCCATTTGGCACAATTTTATAAAAGTTTCAACAGTTGCATTGGTTAAAGGTGGGAGAAACTTACTCCTTGGCTTGCACTTATGCCTATCAAATTTGGCAGATTCAGATAAGACTCCTTTTTTAAGACTCCTTTTTTCGTACCATACGCCATAAGAGTTTTTTCCATTTACAGGACACTCCTATTGTCCAAGAGGAAGGAGTCTTATCTGAATGATGATTTTTATAACGTTTAGCTGTTTTTAAACTCTGTCCATATATATATATATATATATATATATATATACTGCTTGGGTAAATGCTGCCATGATTGATCAGGAATATGAAAAATTGTTTCATAAGTACCGTAATTTTCTTTTCCTGATCATTATTCATAGCAGCATTACGTTCCCACCCATATATTATAATAGTTGTGAAGCTAGTTACAAAGATTGCCTGATAGAAAGGGGGAGGATCTATTATACCAACGTCAGAGTTCTATTTCCTCTCCTTTCGGCTGTGAGGGGAGGAGCTAACGCATGAGTAAATGCTGCCATGAATAATGATCAGGAAAAGAAAATTACGGTAAGTATGAAACAATTTTCTATAATATATATATATATATTTTTCTTTATATATATATATATATATTCTTAATACATATCCATGTATTCATTATTATGAGCAGATGAGGCATAGTCATCTATCCAGCAAAACTAGATTTTTTACACCATTCTAGTTCTCCTTTGTATTTCTCTTTTCCCTTCTCTGTATATATCCCTTTCATAAAATGAAATCCCGGTGTGTATATAGTTGTTCCCATCTTGCTTTGCTTATAAAGTTACTTTCAGGATCCATCCTGCCTTGCCATTTTATAGTGGTTGGTGTAAGACTTGCAAATGCCACGATGGCGCCAACACTGGACATTGACATTGAGTGCGATGACATCATTGGCGTGCTGACGTAATCTGTGCACCAGATGTAAGTGATCAGCTGATATCAGAAGACCTATAAATCAAAAGCAAAGAGACGAACAACCAGCAGCTTTTGGAGGAATTGAAAATTTGTCAAGCTTTTCACAGCAGCCTCTTGTGCAGCCACTTCCATAACGGTTTCTTATATGTGGAACTCAAGGATCTTAGCTTTCCGGTGCGCCAAAGGTCTGCAAAGACCAGGCATGGAGCATACTTCGGGACATATAAGGAGGTTGGCAGCCATTGGGACACATGTGCCTTTGCACAATTCACATGTGCTTTTTACTTGTGAGTGTATATACTACACTACATCATTTTCTTATCTCGTGTTTTTTATTTATGAGAACTCACTCCCGGAAGAGGTAAATAAACCCTTGTTTTTATATGTTTATACTTTATGGTGGCAACAAAAGAATATATATTTACACATTGCACCAGAGCCGTTTGTTTGGTAAGTGCTTACATTTAGTTTTTATTAAAAACTATTATATGAAAACGAGAGCTCCTCCGGGCACCTACATATGTTAGTTGCAGTGTGTAAAAAGTAATTTTTCCCTGTTCTTTTACTTTAAAACAAACCAAACACCTGCCAGGTCAAATATTTCTTGAATAACTAAGCAATATTACAATCCACGCTCAAGAACAGTTATCTGGGAATTTGGCCAACTTTAGAGAATATGGAAATCCTTGTCGATTCACAGTTCTATGTAAGAACTCAATTCTATTCTATCACTTCCTAACTCACTTTTTGAATTACACACCAGACTAAGGAGAGAGATCATGAAAACCGCAAGTCTTAAACTTAAAAGCAATCCACCTTAAAAGCGAATATAGATAAAAAAAAATGTAGCAACCCATACATCTCCTCTTTTCTGACACATCCTCAAGAATCCAAGAATGTAACTTGAAATAAAGATGAAGGTCAGGGGTTCTACTTTTATTGCATAATGTAGTGAAGGAAGCAGGAAATAAAATCAAATGCAACGAAATGTAAAATGCAATCAATTCTGTTTTTAAAAAAGAAGGAACACATTCAAATAAAAGAAAACATAGCAAACTTTTGTTTTCTATAACCTAGTTCTACTTAAGCAGTTTGTATGTAAGATATATTTGAACAATCAAAACTCAGTAATGCCTCTTAGGTATTTTTTAGCTTAAATATAATGTGACTAATGTGATTCCGTACTTATATAACTTGTATATTGGAACCATTTTTTACTTCATTACATAATATCAGCATTTCTATAGCGACAGCATATTCCTCTTACCTTTACAACGATACAGTATGGATACATAGCAGCAAATCTTTGACTGACACATAAAGCTGCCAGATGAAAGGGGTAAAGATCGTCAGAAAGAAGAACAACGTATCGTAGGGGAGGAGAAGTTAACAGATATGATACCTTATTCTAGTTAAAACATGTGACACATTATTTTTTTAAATTCTTTATTTTTGTAGTGCAAACAAAAAAAAAAATACAGGCTGCTCCGGTATGCCACAACAGCATATGCAGGCAATATTTGGTACAGGATGATGCAGTGAAGTGGCATTGTTAAATCTGCACAATTTTTGTGTTAGTAGAGGATTTGTCAAACGCATAAGGTTAGGTTTAGTAAGATTACCGTAGGCTAGTTACATTATAAAGCGGAACGTTGCACATTTTTTATGATATATTATTAACATGCTAAATAAACAGACTATGCAAACATGTCTAACTGCAAGTATAAACAGAGGAGAGTCCTCATATTAGCTAGGATATTCAAATGAAGTGGGTACAGTTGCTAGATTTTGAAAGTTAAACATTTTCTTTTGTTAAAGACAAGTGTTTTACTCATGTAGAGACCTCTGATGTGATGCACATAGGTAGTCCAGCACTCCAAGCTTAAATTGTAAAGGTCACAGCAGAATAAGACAGGAGAGAGTCTGCAAGATCTGTATAGACTTAATGATAAGGCATCAGACTGTCCATTAATGAGGCAGCGAAAGTCAGCTAGCTCTCATAGTTGGCAAGATCATGGCACTTACTGTAGAGTCACTGGGGAAAGCACATCCTCCTGTGCTGTGTTGTTGTTGTTGAGGGGGAGCTCTGGTCTGTTTGACTTCCATGTGATTTTCAGCCGACTCCCGTCGCAGGTATCTCTAGGTCGGGCAGCATAGTGAGGTACAGGGATCCCCCTTCTGTAAGTCGTGGGGGGCTCTCCGCCTGTGGTTCCCTCCCGCAGCTGACTTCCCCGCTTCTCAGTCAGTACCGTGGATTCTCCTGTGCTGGAGCACATCACCCTGGGTATAGGAAGCTGGGGTCAGTGGAGGGCGAGTAAATCGGGTGAACCGGCGGGTCTCGCTTCGGTGCTTGGGGTTGTTAGCGTTGGTGTCCAGGTAGCCTTGCACTGTTTCCCGCCGGCTCCGTCAAGGGGTTGTTCTGGAGGCTCGAGGGGGGTTTACTCCCATGTGGCATCAGGTTGCCGGGTGGATACATTCTGCTACTGCTTGCATCACTTGCTTGAAAAGCAGTCTCCGGGCGTGTAGCTGTATCCAGATGCTGGCTCTGAGTCGTTCATAGAACTCCAGTGTATGCTTGGGGGGTTCGATAAATGGTTGCTTCATTGTGGGCTGCTTCCGAGCCACCATCTTGATTTGGCTTAGCTCTCTCCACTTTACTCTGGGCTTCGTCGCTTGGTCAGATGTTATTGTGGGGGTAGTCGCCCCCAGCGATGACCGGGAGATCCCCCGCCGGTCCGGGGGGGTGGGTGGCAGGGCAATGTTTGATTGCCTCTTGTGAGGAGTTTCTGTGCCAGGAGATCGGCCGCTTCCCCCAGGCCTCAGGCTCCATTCTGGTGTAGGCTGCATGGCCAGTTCAGGCGCTTGCATTATGTTTTGTTGCAGGACGGGTATCATTTTGTTCCCCGTGTGGTCCTGGTTCTGTTTTTGGGCTTCTCGTGTAGCTGGCTTAGTTTGGGTAGTCATGAGGGTCGTTTTTATGCCTGCTGGTGCAGGAGCCCTCAGAAAGCGCGTCCGGCCATTTTGGCTGCCAGGCCCCCCACCCCCCTCCTCTCTTCCATTTTTATGTGTTACATGTTTTATCTTCAGAGATTTTGAGGGTTACCCTATGTTGGGCAGCTTGTAAAAGTGGTGCAGAGGAACTGTAGTGTGGAATGTGAAAGTTATGTGTATATGGAAGATAAGAATATTGTAATAAAATAAGTTACCCAGGAAGATGATATTCTTTACTAAATAGTTGAATTATAAAGGACTGTTTAAAGGCAGGATGGCTATGGGTAGAGTCAGGGCCGGATTAACATAGGGGCTGATGGAGCTGCAGCTCCAGGCCCAGGCCCATGGAATAGGCTCATTGATTTAAAAAATAAAAAATACAAATATTTTTTTTTACACACTACTCTTAGGGTTGTTCACCTGAGCGGTATTTATTTATTTGAGGCTGCCTGGCCGGTGCCGATATTCCAGTAATACCGGCAATACAAATGCCTGTATTTTTCTTAGTATAAACAGAGATTATTCTGCAATACCATTACCGGCCAGTAGGGGTCGCTGTGTGTGTGGAGAGAGGCAGGGATAGGAAGTTACAGCATATACCTTCATTGCTCTACTCACTGATCTGCGGGGGAGCAGCTACACAGCACAGAGAGTCCAGACAGCAGCTCCCAGCCTGCAGAGACACTAAGACACTAGGGGACACTATGAGACATGGGGACACATGGAGACCTCTGGGGATGCTGAGACACTTGGGGACACTTAGAGACATGGGGACACAGACACACATGGGGACACTGAGACAAGGACACACACAAACACACACATGGGGACACTGAAACACTAGGGGACACAGACACTAGGGGACATGGGGACAAAGACACACATGGGGACACTGAGACATGGGGAAACAGACACATATGGGGACACTGAGACACTGGGAGACATGGGGACACAGACACTAGGAACACAATGTCCCCAAATGTCTCATTGTCCCCATGTCTCCAAGCCAGTGTCCTTGGTGTCTGTGTCCCCATGTCTCCCAGTGTTCCTAGTTTCTCAGTGTTCCCATGTCTCCCAGTGTCCCTAGTGTCTGTATGCCCATGTCTCCCAGTGTCCCTAGTATCTCAGTGTCCCCATGTCTCCCAGTGTCTGTGTCCCCATGTCTCTCAGTGTCCCTTGGAGACATGGGGACACAGAGACATGGGGATACAGAGACATTGTGATTCATAGTCTCAGTGTCCCCGTGTCTCACAGTGTCCCCTCATGACATGGGGACACTGGGTGACATGGGGACACTGGGAGACAGGGAGACACTGGGAGCAATCCATCTATACAGCAGAATCAAACTAGGTAGTTTTTTGGTGATTTCACAGAATTTACTCTGTCACTTCTTGTGATTTACATCATGTGAAGTCATGCATACATAATTAGTTATGCAAATTAGCAAGGCCTGTAATTTTTTTCCAAGAAAGGTGGCATCCCTAATTACTCTTCACATACTCTTTCTTAAGTATGGAAACTTAAGAGGGATCTAGAGGAACAAAACTTGTGTGGACTAGCTGAAATGAAATTAGTTAAAGTAATGCCGACTTTGGTCTCTCTAACACTTTGCCATGTTTCCTTTCTTCTACACTCACTACATCCACCTTTTCTCTGTCTCAGACTGTATACCAGCAGCTTCTTCCTTGTAGTAAGTAGGTTAGGATAGAAGTGGACTGGCGATTACTAGGGGACAGTCCTTAGAAAATATAGAGCTAGCGCATCATTAGATGCATTTATGCCAAGCTCAGGAAGCTGTTGGCCAGCATGCATGATTGGCAGGCAGCCGGACATGCATTAATGCTAGACTAGCCTTCCAATTCTTTGGGCAGACACGCCTCCTTTTGGGCATGTTCGGCCCTTTCGGAATTTCTGGTTACATAATCCGCATCACTGACCCACCCTTTTACACCGCCCATTGACTTCCTGCTTGACTGGACACTGCTGTTAGGGAGTATGGATTTACTTGAAAGATGAAAGCATAATTTAGAGAGAGATTAGCATATTTTAGGAGAACTGAGTTTTCTTATAGCTGCATCCTATGAGTTTCCCTCCGGCAACATCTCCACCAGATACATAATGCTTGAGAGGTATGTCTGTTTCAGTTTTTTTGGTCGATAAGATTCTGTACTTAGGCCCCTCATAATTGTCAGCACCAGGCCCACTGGGCTCTTAATCCGGCCCTGGGTAGAGTATGCCAGGATGAGCTAGTGCTTTCTGGGGGAATGGTGCAGCCCTTGAGAAATCCTGTAGGTGGGAGTAAGCAGTGTGGGAATAGGCAGAGAACAAGAGAAGGCAACTAACAGAGTGAAGGGAACAATACAGGGGTGAACTGACAACTCACCGGGCAATAGGAGATACTACTCTTCTCCCCCTTCTTTGTACACAGATATTATGTACACCCTTAGAGCTCCCAAATAGGTCCAGAATGACTTTTAAAATGTTAATCCAACCAAAATCAGGGTTTTAATAAACACTGGAAGTAGTATCACCTCGCCCACCATTAAAATAAATCAATTAATAACACTGGATACAGCCTGATATGGTACACTAGAAGAAGGGGGATAGCCCCTAGTATTTACTGACATGCTTCCTCTGTGTTTGCTGGTGATATCAGAAGCAGTGTTCCCCATATGTGCAATCCTGCAAATAGTTTCAAAACTCAGATACACAGAAACACACTGGCACACATGCATATACACATACACACAGATGCAAACACTGACACACACACTGACACATACAGATATAAAGACACATAGATTGACATACTGACACACTTGCAGGTACACAAACACATCATTATACTAACACACATACAGATACACAGACACACAGAAACAAACACTACACACCTACAGATTCACAAACACACAGAAACACACTGACACACATACAGATACAGACACACAGTAAGATACACACACACAAACAAACACACTGTCACAGATGCTGAGACATAAAAAACACACAATGCCACACATAGAATACATAGACACACACAAACACACAATGACATAAATGCAGATCTACAGGTAGAGTATGACAGGTATAACCTGTAGTGTGGGAATAAGCAGAGAACAAGAGAAAGCAAATAGCAGAGTGAAGTGAACAATACAGGAGTGGACACACCACTCACAGGGACTCCAGGCAATAAGAGATCAAGGGCCCCTCTCTTGGTGCAAGGATTTTTGGCTACTACTATTACCTTTTCTTTGTGCGTCTCTTACACAGATATTATATACCCTCAGAGTTTCCAAACAAGGCCACATTGACCTTTTATGATGTTAATCCAACCAAAATCAATTTTGATAACTCTAGATGTAGTAACTCTTGCTGGCATGCCTCAACTGCTATTAAAGGGACACTATAGTCACCAGAACAACTACAGCTTATTGAATTTGTTCTCGTGAGTAGAATCATTACCTTCAGGCTTTTTGCTGTAAACACTGTCTTTTCAGAGAAAAGGCAGTGTTTACATTACAGCCTAGTGATAACTTCACTGGACACTCATCAGATAGCTGTTAGAGATCCTTCCTGGGTCATGGATGCCCAAAATGCATCCAAACATTCAGTGTCTCCAACCTCTGCATGCAGACACTGAACTTTCCTCAGAGAGCTTAATTGATTTAATTCTACTCTATGAGGAGATACTGATTGGCCATGGATGTGTTTGAATCATGCTGGCTCTACCCCTGATCTGCCCCTTTGTCACTCTCAGCCACTCCTATGGGGAAGCACTGTGATTTGATCAGGCTACCACTTCTGATGATGTCATCAGACTGCTTGTTTTCATCAGACTGCTGAGTCTAACAGCATGCAGTTACAGCTTTAGGCTTGAATACAGTAAGATTTTGCTATATCTATGGAGGCATGAGGGGCCCAGGGGGGCTAGATGGTGGTGTGAACACTATAGGGTCAGGAATACATGTTTCTGACCCTATAGTGATCCTTTAAAATAAAGAAATAAAGCACATTTAATGAGACACTTTCTATGTGTTTGCTGGCAACATAACAAGCAGTGTCCCCCTTATGTGCAACCCTGCAAATAGCCTCAAAACTTATGAGTGAGTTTGTTTGTGTCTGCACGCTGATGTGTGTGGGGAGGCTGCATACCATATTGCATGTATGGGGATACTGCTTGTATGATTTTGTGCATACAGTGAAACTCCATGTGGGTTTGCATGGATCATGGATTGCAGAATAAAACTTACAAGGAAAGGTTAAAGGAACTTAACATGTATAGCTTTGAGGAAAGACAAGACGGGAGATATGATAGAAACATTTAAATACATAAAGGGAATCAACACAGTAAAGGAGGAGACTATATTTAAATGAAGAAAAACTACCCAGTGGCATACTAAGGGGGGGTGGCGGAGGGGGCGGTCCGCCCCAGGTGCCACCAGGGTGGGTGTGCCATGACCCTGGTCTGGGGGCTGTGTGAGCTGTGGTCGCAAAGTGCCCCTTGGTAGTTAGGGTGCCTTGTGGCCAGAACAGCTCACACACGCTAAGAGCAGCTGAACTGGCCGCACGGAGGTAAAGTGGGGGCGGAGCTAGGCAAAACTAGGGGCGGAGCCAAACCAGCAGTGGGGCAAGGCCCTTACCCACTGCTGTTAGGAGGTGCAGCAAGATGGAATCCATGCTTCTCCACAGGCTTCAGAGAAGGAATTCAGGGAATCCACTGTCTGTAAGTAAGAGTGTGTGACTGTGTGTCTGTGTGACTGTGTGTGTGTAACTGTATGCCTGTAACTGTGTGTGTGTGTGTCTGTGTGTGTAACTGTATGCCTGTAACTGTGTGTGTGTGTGTGTGTATGTGTGTGTGTGAGACTGTCTGCCTGTAACTGTGTGTATAACTGTCTGGCTCTGACTGTGTGTGACTACCTATAACTGACTGTGTGTGTAACTGTCTGCCTGTTTGCCTGTGACTGTTTGATGTTGCCTGTAACCATGTGTGAATATCTGTCTGTGACTGTGTGCATGTGACTGTCTGCTGCTGTCATGTGTGTGTCAATGTATATGTGACTGTATGCCTGTAACTGTGTGCATGACTGTCTATGACTGTATGTGTGACTGTCTGCATGTGACTGTGTGCCTGTAACTGTGTGTGTGTCTGCCTGTATGTGTGTATGTAACTCTCTGCCTGTGACGGTTTGTGTGAGTGACTGTCTGCCTGTAACTGTGTGCATGACTGTCTGGCTATGACTGTGTGTGACTACCTGTAACTGACTGTGTGTAACTGTCTGCCTATCACTGTGTGTGTGACTGCATGTGACTATGTATGTGTGACTGTCTTCCTGTGACTGTTTGATGTTGCCTGTAAACGTGTGTGACTGTCTGTGATTGTGTGCATGTGACTGTCTGCTGCTGTCATGTGTGTGTGTCAATGTATATGTGACTGTCTGCTGCTGTCGTGTGTGTGTGTCAATGTATATGTGACTGTCTGCCTGTAACTGTGTGCATGACTGTCTGTGACTGCATGTGTGACTGTGTGCGTGTGACTGTCTGCCTGTAACTGTGTGTGACTGTATGCCTGTAACTGAGTGTGTGACTTTCTGTCTGTAACTGAGTGTGTGACTGTCTGCCTGTAAATGTGTGTGTGGGGCTGCAGGCATTTTGAGGAAGGGGGTTGCGGGGGTTTTGTAGACGGAGGCAGTACAGGATTTGTAGAAGGGGAAGGACAGGGGTTTTGTAGGAGGGGGCGGGGCAGGTCAAGGGTTTGTAGGAGGGGCTGACAGGGGTTTTGCAAAGTTTACAAATTGTAAAAAAAAAAAGAAAACATTTAACATTTTTTACAGGGGGGAGGGAGGGTGCCAAGCACAGGATCCACCCCAGGTGCCAAATGCTCTAGGTACTCCCCTGAAACTACCACAACAAGAGGAAATTGTCTTAAATTAGAGGGGTAAAGGTTTATAAATACTATCAGGAAGTATTACTTTACTGAGAGGGTTGTGGATGCATGGAATAGCCCTCTAGCTGAAGTGGTCGAGGTTAACACAGTAAAGAAGTCTAAGCATGCTTGGGATAGGCATAAGGCTATCCTAGCTATACAATAAGGCCAGGGACTAATGAAAGTATTTAGAAAATTGGGCAGACTAGATGGGCCGAATGGTTTTTATCTGCCGTCACATTTTATGTTTCTATCTGTGAATAGAGCTGTAGTATGTGAGTGAAGAGGGCTGTTTCTGTTGTAGTTTTTGCAGTGTTGGAACTAATGTACAGCAATCATTTGTTTAAGAGGGAGACAATACCACATACATAAAATCCCACAAGCAGCCCCTAAGCACACGTACAATACACTTTCCTGGCCCTTTTGCCCTCTGGTATCCCACTTATGGAGACACCAGAGACAAGTCTCAAGCAAACACAGTGCATGTGTGTCATCAAATTTGCTTGTACTGTGCAGAACTCATACAGGGCATTTTTTTTAATGTGAGAGCTCTTCAGCATGCCACTGCGCTTGGGCTGCCTGGGAAGAGCTTTGAACCAACGTGCTCACTTTAAGAGGGGGCATGCTTGATATTACAAACTCCACCTCTCTTCCCTGCTTCCTTCTCACTGGGCTGCTGTTATTTCACAATCTGGCCCTGACCAGCACCTTTTCTCCCTTTCTCAAAATCAGAATACCTGGAGTGTGCTCTCTCTGCTACCATGCTGCTGTTCCTTTTTTTCTTAGTCCAGGGACAGTCGGCACTCTGCACATGGGTCACTGAATCTGAGCACATGAGGGAGCTGAGCAGCAGGAACAGAACTCTCTTGCCACCCGACTCCACCGCTCATCGTGTGACTGTCCGCCCACCGAGCTGCAGCAAGCCCCACTGGACCACAGGAAAAAATTCACCAAAATGTAAGCAAAAAATAAATAAAATTGTGTTACTGTGTCTGTTAGTGAGAGTGTGTGTGGCTGTTATTGAGTGTTAGTGTGTGTCTATTAGTGAGAGTGTGTCTGTCGCTGAGAGTGTATATGTGTTTGTCAGTGAATCTGTGTGTATGCATGTGTCAATGTGTGTATACCTGTGTCAGTGTGTATATGTGTGTCTGTCACTGAGAGTATGTGTCTTTCAGTTAGTGTATATGTGTGTCTGTAGGTGAATGTGAGTGTGTGTGTGTGTGTAACTGAGAATGTGTCTGTCAGGAAGAGAAATTTGGAAGGGGAGGGAAGGTGGGGCCTGAATTTTGTCATGCCTAT